AAGTATGATCGAGTATAAATTAAATATGTAAAAAATATTTTGAATTAATAGGGATATTTAAGCAAATTCTGGTTCATCATAGTAACAATTTAAAAAGGAACTTTAATATAATATAACTATATAATATAACTTTAATATAATATAACTATATTTTCTTTTTTTGAGGAAAAAAAGTTAAAAGCAACAAAATATGACGGGGAATACAGGGGTGTATCGGCTTAACGGAGGAGTATCATATTCTTCCTTAAAAACGGAAAAAATTCAATAGCTTTGAAAAAGAAAGATTTCCGTCTTCTTTTTATTGTTCCTCTATTTTATTATTGAATAACGTCATTCTAATTCATGACACTATTCAGTTAATAATTCTGAAAAAAAACTCTTCAACCAATATTAGCTTTGTATCAATGAAATGCAGTACATGAAAGACTAAAAACTTCATCGTATACTTTTAAATTAAAAAAGTTAATATAACAAATTCCGATGAGAGACCGAAATTTAGTCCTTTTTTTAACTTTGGATTTTAATTTCAAATTATTTATTTAAAATTCTTCCAATCATTGTGCACTTTAAGCATTCGCTAGTGCTGTTAAGTACTATGGTTGTAAATCTGGTAATACTTCTTTCTTCAATTCTTATATTGATTCCCATGTTATTATTAAAAGCCTTAATAACTTCAGTAATAACAAAGAAATCAGAGGAAAATAATTTGAGTCTTAGCGATTCCCTCCAGTTTAAATTATCTAAACTTTTCGGGAATTTTCAACTTCTGAAAATATTTGGACTTCCTTACAGTTTAAGAGCCGGTTTTTTGACTTCTTTCAATGACTTCCTTACAGTTTGAAATGCTGAATTTAACGAATCGTCCCATAATCGTTCATACTATTTCAGCCATCAAATTTGATTGCACATGGAAGGAAAGCAACAGATAGAAACTGACAGAAAAAATCCAATTTCATTCTTTTTCACCAACAGTTTCAAATATTAATTCTTCGAATTCGAAAATATATCTCGAAACAAACATATGCCCATCCAAGCTCTCTGATGAACTCTTCATTGCGCATCTAAATTATTCCCGACAACTTCAACTCCTAAATTAAAGTAACAATATTAATGATCTCGACAACAGAGTTTCATTACTTCAATCATGTATATTGCTTAGTTTATAAAACTCGACAACACTTTCATTTTTCCTGCGATCGCTAACGAATGTAATTTTTATGGCGAACAAGATTTGCAAAACCTAATTTTGTGTCACAGATCGTGGAGCGCCCCATTATGATAACCTACATTATTTCACGCAACATTTGGTCATCATTTAAACTAAAACATGAGTACAACAGAAACACATTCATGCCTTCAGCTAAGTTCCTAGCATCACCGAGCAACCAGAGCGGTAAAGCCACGCATTTTGTAATTTTTTGAAAACGATTCTTTTCAAAAAGCAATATACTTATTTATTCATTGTTGCCTGTGTGCACTTAACACACAAAACTATTTTCTTCTCCTTCCTACAATAATTAATATGTATATGACAGTGCCGTTAAATCAAGCATCGATTGAATGAAAAAAAAGGGGCGAATAGGACATAAAATTCAAATGTTCGAATAAAAAAACCAAAAACAATACATTCTGATAATATACATTCAACACAGAGTACAGCTTTAATATAATTATTATTGTAAGCATGAATTTGATGCAAAGCAAGAAAGATTTCAAAGTAGAATTCACGATAAAAAACTACACTATCGCGAAAATATTTGATGTATAGCAACCGGTTACCGCGTACAAGGGATAGGATACCGCAAATAAAGGATAACAGCCCAGAATTGAAGAGACAACTCAAGATATTCTTCTATTTTATCAAAACCGAAATAAAAATTACATCATTATCCATTCTTCTATATGAAATGCGGAAGATACTGTAGTGAACAACTGGGCAGATCTTCTTCCGTAGTGAAGCAAATCCATTCTATCCTAAATGAAATCAATTTTAACTACAAGAAATAAAACCAATTTTGATCGCAGTTTCTGAAACTACATATATCTACAAAAATCAAACGATGACTAAAAAAACCCCATTGAACAATAATTTGTTTCTGGAAATCATCGCAGTGAACAGTAATTCAGGATTCAAATCAATCATAATAAAACAAAGTATTCACAAGAAATCCTGACAAAACTCTATACCATACATATACATGCACATTTTAAAAAGAGCGGTAAAGAAAAAGCAAACAAGCTGTGTTAACCCGATAAGAGCTGGAAAAAATAAAAAATAATGAGCGATTAATGCATGAGCAACAAATACTGAAGATGTACATTGCCTTTCTTCCAGAAAATTCACTTTTACCCGGAAATCCCACATAATTTAACGCTTAAGAAGTTAGATCTTAAGCAACTATTTTTGTTACAAACAATAAGTAACAATTTTATATGACCATGTCCCACAAACAATAAGGAAGTGAATGTAAGATCAGCACGTAACTCAGAAAAAAGGATTGCTTAAGCGAATGCGTCCGACAAGATGTACAAGATAATTGTATGACTGACTAATTGAAGAGTTTTGGTGGAGCAGATGTATATACTGTGCACGTGAAATCTAAATCTAATAATACCTCTAAACATTTATACTTTTAAAAAGTAACATATCTCACTAAAATCATGATATTGCTTATTGAAAATCGAAATGACTAATGGGTAATAAGTTTGTAAAATAAAATTTAATTCTTAAAGAATGAAATTTAATGCTTTCAATGTTAACTCATGCAATAACCTCGCGGTCATATAGAATTGATATTAATTAAACATGGAAAATAAATGCAACATCCGCAGGAGAGAACAAGTGCAAATGGATTGAAAATAAATATTTCATATTACAGTTTACAAATATTTCATATTGTGGTCTAAAAGAAAAAATTTTAAAGGAATAAATCATTGATGATACCAATTAATAGTCATTTATACTCCTAGATGTAGAATATTGAAACAATTAATGCTATGATCTACACATATTTTATTTGTTTAATTTTTACTGAATCCTAGATAACTAGCTAAGAGAACTCAACAAAAGATTTCGCATATCAAAGATGTATAATTTGAAAATGTTTTGGATCAATATGGATTTCAGGAGAAATAACGAGATATAGATAAAAGCATGTTGCATCATTGGTAAACAAATAAATAACCAAAGACACATACAAACAAACAAGTGTAAATTATGTCGAAAGGGGATTAACACTTCTATTTATAAAATGAAGGACCAAATAAAAAAAAAACGAGCAATTGAAGAATCCCTTAAACTGCCAAACTCGAGTACAATATCAAAACTATATTTTAAACATCTGTGAAGCTACCTAGGATATCAATCCGTCTCTCTATACCTGGTACTTTATATTGAAGTCTACTCCTAAACAACCTTTTATTCTCTTTTGCAAAGCCATAAATCACCACTTTAACAAAAACGTGGTTTATGATTTTGACAAAAAAGGAAAAACTTTTTCTTCCATCAAATCACTTTTTTAAATTTAACATCATCTTCTAACCATCTCAATTAAATCATCGGAAGTATGTATACAACTCAATAAAACGACATTTCTTCATTTAGAAAAAAATAATGACTGCAATTATCAAATTATGCTAACCATAAGCCTGATTTTGATATAAAAGCACATATAGACGGTACGTTAGTACGAGCAGAAACGTAATTTCGTTTACATGACTTCTCAATGACTTTTGTCAAACAACAAGCATTGCTCATGAAAAGCAAGTGTAAACAGGAATTTGTTCAACTTTCAATCTCCAACTGAATACCGATCAACTCGGAAAGAAGTCGAACAGCTTGTTCTGCCGAAATCTAAAAAATATAATAATAGTGAACTATTTGTTTCAAAGAGCAAGAAATAACTATATACAACCATATTAATTTCTTTTTCCCTTTGTGTTATTTAAAATGTTAGATGAATCCAAAATATCAAACAAAAACTGACAGGCGGATAGATTATTTATATAAGTGCGAAGTCAGATGAATTGAAATAACCAAGTAGGGGAATGTGCTGAAAAACATATATGCAGAATGGTGACAGAAGTTCTTATTATACGAATTACTGGCTCAGTCTCTATGATAAGCCTAGCTTACTCGATATATGTTTAAATAAGTACGGCATTCAACTTGGAGTTTTATTAAAAACAAAGTCTTTCTAACTTTTCCTGGATTGGTTTGAGTGGAGGCATCACAGCACCCTGAATTCTCCGGATTAGTACCAATATCACGCGCTAAATTCCACGATGCATCATATGTGTCGGTAGATTTTTCTTGAATTGTCAGGAGAGTCTGAATAAATGAACTTAGAACAAAACAAAAGAAAAAACTAGTTCCTAACAATTTTGAAAATTGATAGACCTGTAATAATAAATCTAAATTTGAACAGCTGAAACAGAAATGGAACTTTTAATTTATAAGGTTAAATAAGCTTAAGAAATTAAAAAAGAACCATTAATTTAATAAAATTGCATTACACTTACCGCATTCTGCACTGTATTCATATTCCAGCCTGCATCGCTATCATCTGGTGTATTACTTGCACTCGATGGCACCTCATCAATAGGTTCACTGGGGGGTTGTGAAAAAGCTTGGTGCGGTGCAAAGGACGATACTGGAGGAGCAACCACTAATGGATTCTGATGATAAGCAATGAAACCAGGTGCTGGTGGGAAACCAGGGACAGGGCTGGACGCTGCAACAGCTGCAGCTTGGGATACCATAAGATAAGGACCATTGGACACTGGAGCACGACCGGGAGTCAGGATTAACTGGGACATTTGCATCTGCATATTCATGCTGATCAATTGATCGAATGAATTGACCAGAAGCAAAAAAGGACTCTGGAAATCAACTTCTTAAAAGAATACTCTTTGAAAAAGACAACTCCAATTCAAAAAAATACGTTTCAATACTCCACAATTCCTTTCCCAAAATGCCAACACAATTTTGTAAAACACAGATTATTTTCGACGTTATTAAACAATGAGGTGCCTTCTTCGAGCAATTATGAGAAAGTAAAAAATTTGAAATAAATTATAAAATTTTCAAAATCTTTACTTGTCCGTTACTGTAACGTGTCCATTCCGCAAGCGTATGAAAGCGGTCTTCGTTCTTCGTACGAATAAGCATCGCATCTGTGAAATAACCCGTTTTGCACCATTTCTGCATTTCCACAGATGAATATGGACCTATATAATTTAGTAATAAATACAGCCTTCAATAAATGAGGGATTTCCCCGAATTTGTTCAAAACTGGAAAATTTTAAATGTTTATTGAAAAGTTCCTTACCATAAACGCGACGATCTTCTCCCTGATAAAACCATTTCGGGCTGTTCAAACCGTCACGACTCGGATCCATTCTTAGAAACAAAAATGTTGAAAAGTTTGATTATCTCAATTTGCAAATATTTCTAACAAAAATTTCTACGTACTATCCATATTACAAATAAGTATAAAAAATAATAAGATTATTTTAAAGAATATTCAAAATACGTAAAGCCTAATCGGATGATTTCCGTCGGAATAAACAGCAACCAATACAGTTCCAAATTCAATTATAAGACTACTTCACTGGTGTCATCAAACGCTTAACCTGTATGTGTTCATCAAATTTTCCGCAGTTATCTTTTTCTTTCTGTCAGAGTACTTTTAATTTAAAAATACTAAAAATTTTGAATATCGACTGTTCAACTAATAAGCAAAAAATTTATTTGCGAAATGAGTCATCCTTGTTCCTTAATTCAGAAAAGTTTCAGACTTATTCCACAGTAAAAATCAACCAAAAAGAAATTAAAAGGTTTATAACATTTAAGTTAAGTTGCATTACTCGTTAAGTCTAATATAGTGTAAGAAACATCACTAGCTCAAAAGATGCTGCCTGTTCCTGCCTTATCAAAATGAATTTTTTAATCATATTATAAAAACACCACTGAAAGATATTCACAACGTCAACCATGGCTGGAACTAAATAAATGAAACAAAAAAACCAATGATAATAAATACAAAATTTTATAAATTTTAACTAGAAAAATTACTCCTTCGAACAGAACAATGCTGCAGAGATGAGATTTAGCAAAATTTAATGTTAGAATTAAATGATTTTCTCCGATCTAAATCATTATTTTTCTGCAGGAAGGATCATCTTAACTAAACGAAAAAACTGATGCTCACCATTTTATTGCAGAATACCAAAAATTTGAAGAATACAAAGAATCTTATAGATAGATGAGTGGATAGATCAGTAGGAGGATGGAGATGCTGATGTATTTCGGATACATTGATCGAAAGAGGATAAGCAAGAGGACGAAGAGATGGATGAACGAGGAGGAGAGATAACATAGTTCTCGATGTGTAATAAACATGCCACCATAGATGCTTGTTCTTCGTTTGACACTTCCTAATTATGATATGAACAAGTAAAATATGCAAATTTCCAATTATCAATTTTCTCGTGATAATCTTATAAATGTGAAAAGGAGAAAAAACGATAATGGATGAAGGAAATATAAGAGAAAGAAACGGTTCTTTGGACATGCTTCCTGATACACATTCAGAACATGGAATGCAGGAAGTACAACGATTCGAACTAAAGTAATCCTTTAAAAGACCATCTCCTCCTGTTACACTTACTTCAGTCCTATTTCATTCTTCTCATTCTTCTTCCTCAAATTACAATTTCGTTCAGAAAATGACTATAGCTTTTCATTTCCGTCACAATATTATTCAATATTATTCCCAACTCCTTTCTCCCAATTATTAGAGCCTAAACAGTCATCTATAACGAAGATTAACGTGAATAAATTCTATCACTATATGCAAAAGGAACGTGAGAAGAACGAGCTAAAATGTAAAGTCTCAGTGTACTGATTCCCAGACAAAGTGAAAGCATGTTTGCAAGGAGTGCAAAACGCGGAGATTTTGGGCATACAACGCACTACAGGCATCACAACAAACTATCACCACAATTTAGCAATTCCTGTATTACTTTGCGAATTAGAGTTTTGCAAATCCCGCAGTGATTTCCAAAGATACAAAAGAAATAAGTGTAGTCACGAAAATGCTGGGACCGGGGAGTTAAATACCACGGGCATGGCGTCACAATGAGGTAAGTGTGCTGAATCACTATGAAACCCACGGTATCTTCTGTGTTTAGCGCATCAAAATGTCAACAACTCTCGGGGGCACGTGTCTTTCGAAACCATGAAATGCACTGCAGTACAGCGGGTTCCCATATTTCCCATCAATGTTCCCGCTATGCTTCCAATTACAAATATTAGTGATTGTCACTTCATTTAATCGTCCTTTTGGCTATGGTCATGACCTGCTTGATAAGCTACGATCCCTTTGAAGACTATGACTATTTAAGAGCTGTGACCTTCCACGACAGGTCATCAACGACGAGAACAGCACACAAACAGGAACAAACTCGCAGCAACTCCCGCAACTCCAAACAGCAAACACGCCCACAACCCATTCATTCCCACAAAAATCACATAAAATTCGATTCCGAACCACACGGAGAGCGTTGCGCAAATCAGTACATCCCAAGTGAATTTCGAGATCGTGTGGGGCAGATTTCCTTCCCCTTCGACTCTTTCATCAGTTGAATCAGCAAGTATAATTTGAGGGACGAATGATTGGTAGAAAGTACTCATTTCGATTATTATCACTCTGCCTTGAACAGAGCACAAAGGCTGATAATAATCGAAATAAAAATAGGATCTGTTGTACTTGGAGCAAAAGGAAAGATGATGAGGATGACTATAATATACTTTCAGCTGTTAGCATTTTCCTTATGTTTATTAAACATGTTTGGATTAAATTAAAATATAGGATTATATTTCCTATCATTTTTATTTTGCAGATGGCCAACCTCGATGTATCGGGTTCATCATCGACTACTGGAACACCTCGTCGTCTTCCCGTAAATGGTCCTGAAGAGCGTCCAATGTTCGTCTTTTTTTTGGTTTATTTAGTATGTCGAGATATCCTTATTTGTAATTTCGAGTTCAGTTTTTTAGTTACTTTGTATTGGCAGATGGTGGAATGTTCAATAAACAAACTTCGATTAATGAAATGTTTTTTTTTGTTAACTATAGTATATCAAGCGTATTTCATACGATATCCCGCATTTTATTTGCAGAAAAACTGATTTCCTTTGTCGTGTCAAATACAACAATGCACTGCCAGATATACCTTTCGATACGAAATTTTTAGCATGCCCATTTGTTTCCCTCAGCAGGTTAGTTTGAAATTAAAGATGGAATGTGGCGCACATAGGCTTCAATAGTGGATTAATTTCATCCACTCATTTAGATACTTTTTCTCACAATTCCGCTTCCGTCGTATCTCACGCTTTTTTCTTTTATTAATTTTTAATGTTTTCTGCTTCATTACTTTACCTTTTTTTCATTTATACTTGTTAATGAAACAAAAAGTGAATGTTGTTTTCTAATGTACGTAACAAATTTGATAGGAAGTATCTTTACCGTCAAAATTTCAATCTCCTCTTTTCTATTTCCTTGTTTAAAACATTTTCCCTTTTAGGTTCACTGATTACAAATCATCTAGTTTGGAAAAAAATTTCAAATTCGAATTACTATGTGAACCAGACTGTGGAGTTAATATTGATCTTATCAATCCAGAAACATATTATGTTGATGTTGATAGCCCAAAAAAAGTGTGTATTTATTTCTTTCTGCTCAAATATATTCGTGGACAATAATTGATTTCTTTTATATTGCAAGTAGCAATTAATTTTTAGTCATAATTAAATGGATATTATTAGATAGGTATAGATAAGTATTGGTTATACATGTAATGTAAATTTCATTCGCTAATTACATCCATACATTCATTCTAATCTTAACATAATAAGTGTAGCCTGCTAAAGGTCGTTGTTTAATACTTAAAATTCTGATTTAAAAATTCATTTGAAATAAAAAAGTTGCAATTTTCGAATTTATTTTGGAATTTTGTTGGTAGCTGTTTGTTATAGCATCATCCCATTGATCTCGAACTTCTCGAAGACGAGCAAATAAATCCTCAGAACTTACGCAGGTTTGCACATTTCTCATTGTATTATGTAATTTTTTGTTTAGTTTTACTTGTCAATACTAAAAATTTCTTGAAGATCCTTGCAACATAGCAAAATGGTACCATGGATGAGGAAAACTGAATATATCAGTTCTGAATTTACGAGGTTTGGCGTGTCGGCTGAAAGACAAGAAACTAGGGTTAGTTGATTTTTTTGCTACATTTTACTCGTTAATTTTCATTGTTCATTAATACTTTTAATTCATTTGGCACCTTTCATGCATTTCTCTTTCTTTTTTGTTTTTTGCTTGCTATTTACACCATATCTTCCACTTCTTCTTGATCGCAAAATTTTGGTTGAGAAAGAACTATAAATGGATTATCTAGGTTGCTTCGTTTTTTTCGTCGAAATTGATTTCCTACATTTTTGTGATAAGTTAATGGTGCAATGTTTGTCTTTTAAAAGCAGATCGTATCTGCAAGAAATAAACGCATTAAATATATTGAACAAATTTTCAGATTGGCTATAGCACGAAGAAGAAATTCCAAACGGATGTATTGTATAGAGATCGAGTATCACAAATTGCAGCAATTAACAAGACGTTTGATGATGTAAGTTTTGCATTTCGTGAATGCATAGTATACAGTTATTTTCAAAGTCATCCATCCTGTTGATTTAACATTTCATAAGATAGGTTTGGTTTTTTGCAAATAAAGAAAAAAATCATATAAACTATTTTTCAGGCATCGAAAACAATATCACATCATCCAACCAAGAAAGGTGTAATTGCTATTGAGGAATTACCACTGCTACCAGATTTCGATGTAGATTTTATTATTATCCGTGCGAACACATTTTTTAACAGTTTTAGTTTGAGTGACTCCTGTAACACTTCTGAACTTCTATCGGTACTGTATGGGAATATCTTTAGTACTTTAACATGATGAATGCTGAGCTATGTAACAAAATGATAGAGAAGTGTTTCAATTGGATTTACTAAATAGGATGGCCTTTTTGTTTAGCACGTTAAAATGAAAGGTAATAAGTAAGAATGACTCGTTTTCGTAAACTTCAAAACATTATTTTCAGAACTGGATGCACCCCTTTGCACTGGTTGTTTTTGATGGTGATCCAATACCACAAAATGATAAGGTCGATGCTCAAACGCTAATGCCGCAGGCACTAATACGGTACTTTTTCAAAATTTCCTGTAGCTTGCGTCTTAGCTCGTGCTCTTCAATGTCTTAAATAGACTTTTATCTGGAAAAATTTTCTAATTAAATTTATATAGTCGTTTAGATATTTATCTCTGTTGCATTTCTGTCCAATTATTAATTTCGAGTAATTGCACATTGATGATATATTTTTCTCTTGCGAAATTCGGTCCCATACAGAATTGGGAAATTGATTGCTGACTGCCAAAATGTGTTGGGTTACACGTTCCAAAGTTGTGTACTGGCTAAGGAATCGTTCTCACATGTTCTCTAATAAAAGTCAGAAGTTTGCGGATAGCGATGATTGATGACTGAAATAAATGCATTGGTGTCATCGTTGCAAAAGATTTGATATGATTCACGAGTAATTTTGGAAAACAAATCATGATTATTTTAGTGGTATGATGGATGAAGAAGGTGAACAATTTGTTACATACTTCTTGCCCTCGAAAGAAACTTTGGATAAACGTTTGAAAGATGCAGAAAAGGGTCTTGAATTCGATCCTGATTATGTGTAAGTTGGAAATTTATGCATAAACTATAATAAAAATGATAAGAATTTGGAATTCAGAGAAATGCAATATTTTTAAATATTTATTTAAAGGTTCATATGAGTTATTAACTCATATCTCGATTTTTTTAACATACATTGTATCATCGAAAAGTATACTGCATTAGAAATTATAAACTTTTGACGTTTTAAATCAAGGATTCATAAGACTAATGATAATTCCTTTGTAAAATACATGTCTTTTCGAGTAAGATAATTTCGCAGGTATGAGTATCAATCAGTTCGGGATTATAACTGGTTGGTAAGAAATAAATCAACAAAAGGATATGAACAGGACAATTTCTTATTTACAATACGTGATGGTGCCGTTTACTACAATGAATTGGAAACAAAGGTTTCATTAAATCGTCGGAAAATCAAACGAATAAGGGTGAGATCTCGATTTGATTTATGAAGTAAGTGTTTGTTAGAAGAAAAAAAATCCAGGGAAAAAAAATGAAGCATTTTTATTGTTCACATAGCTGGTAATGAGTAAATATGACTTGGATTACCAAACGCTTTGTGTAAAACATTTATTGATGTCAGCGCTGCATGCATTTACCATCCGAACATTACCAATTATTTAGCCATTTTATTTGCTTCATTTATTAGTTAAGTAATTAGCGGTTCGGATTGTTTAACGCTAATTGATAAGCATTCGTCATTATTTTCCTAGCTTATTGTTTATGTTTGCCGATAATAGCTGCCTTACATGACATAGTGAAAGATGAAAGAGTTACTTATGAATTGGAAAATGGACGATGAAACTTTTGATAGATAATGAGAAAAGGAAAATATTTGTGGTGCAGTCTGAAAATATTATCGAAGAAATTCAACCTGGATTTTTTTTGTCGCCATCGACCAGTCTTTTTAATTTCAGCAAGAAACAAAGTTGATGGTACGAAATCGTGCATATGACGAAAATGAATTGAATGCACAGGTGAGACATTTAATTTCTGTTTTTTAAATTATTGATTTTAAGCAATATCGACAAAGCTAACAATACATCCCATTGTTAGCTTTGTCGATAATGGATATGGGCATCTTGAATTGTTCCCTAACAAAAAAGAAGAGCCATTCAGCCAACTTCAAGGCTGTATTTTATACATGCAGTGAAAATAGTGGATTGAAAAATAATGCAAAATTGAAGCACTTCACATATACAAGGAACTGAGATTTCTTTACTTGTTCATTTTTAAAATCCACTGATGTTGACCTAGTTTTTTGATGGTCTTCCGACTTTAAGAAGTTATTTTATTAATTTGTACGCAATCATGATATTATTAATATTCAGTATAATGTTCTTTGTTAGTAAAACTGACGCTTCAGTTCTGTCTTCAATCAATTTCAGCAAGAACGACTAAACAACCTATTGCATCCATACGATGAGAAAGATGACGAAGGTAAGCTTTATTCCATTTTCGTCTTTCCAATTATTATTTTTTGTCACTCTATGCATTAGGTTCATTTTAATTTTTATGTGTACTTAATTGTGCTGGTGTTGTTTATATTTATGCATTTATATTCACTTACGTTTGCACATTAGTTGAAACTTTCTTTTTTTCATATCATAGCTGTATTATTCTTTTCGTTATTTTTTATAATATGTTACAGTTTGAAACAGTTGTTTTAACTTTTTTTCTCACGCGCATATACGGTTAGACGCACAGAGATGCAAGCAAATATCCAACAAACATGAGTAACAGCACAAATATAAACACTGTATTATTACATTTATATATACATATTACATTTTACTTATAATGATGGTACAATATATGTTATATGACATGGAAACTAAGTGCACTAATCCAGTAATTTTAGGCTAGTTTGTTGTTTGCTGAGAAATGCTAGCCATATTTTCAATTAATTGCTCTACTTCAAAGAATCGGCAAAAAATGGTGTAATCTCTTAAATGTTTTGCATATTGGAGCTAGAAAATATTTACACAAAAGGTGACTGAGTGCTAGTTGGATGATGTTATTGTAAACACATTATAATTTTCAGCACTGAAGACAGTTGAGTATTTTTTAAAAAAATATTTGAAAAGAATATTTAAAAAAAAACAAGTAAAGCAGTTGCTTTCACTTTGTGTGACAATCTTCAAGGCACTGCGATGTTTTGACTGAGAAAACAAAATATATGGATATCGTGAAAGTGCTTGATGTGCCAAAATTTGCTACTCAATTCTAACGTAAAAGTTTGTTTTAGGAACAATTTCTTATGTTTCTAGACTATCGTTTGCATAAGCTTCCGACATTCCTATCAATACATTGAGAACAAAAATTTGATAAATGTTCACCATCTAAATTAGATTATTCTAATTTTAGTATTTTTTTTCTCTTTTCTTCAAATTATGGAATGCGATTTTTTTTGACAATATATGCGATAATTTTTTGTCCTTGAAATAAAATGAAATTGAAATATTATCCAAATTCTGAAATTTTTTTTCGGCATTTAATATTTTTTCTGGAATTATTTTCCCTGCTTTCAGAAAAGCACTTTTCTGGAATTATTTTCTTTCCTAAAATATTCCCTGCTTTCACTCTTCTATTTCGAACTCATTTCTGTATTTGCATTATACCATCATAATACGATGCGGTTTGTTTATTTGTTTTGCTAAGAAGATTTGCTTTCTTTACTGCGGTCTGTTCACTCAGTCGTATTTAAAATCCTCATTATTCCTTCACGAAACGGACATAATAAAATATTGGGAAATGAGATTGCATGCTGTGAAATAACGCGAATAATTTCAATAAATTCACAACAAACATACCAAAAATAGGAAATATTTCGCAAATCATTTCAAAATCTAGCAGATATTGTTTAAGTTTTGTAGTGTTTTATTGTTGAAAACTTCACATGCTCGAATAGATGTTTGCACTTTGCATTTAAATTAAGGTGAAATAAAAGATTTCTATTTTGTTCCGTTCTCATCTATTTTATTCTGTTGTCATTAGTAGTTTGGAAAGAAGATTGTAGTGGGAAAGGAGAGAATTTGTAATAGCATTTGAAATGTGAGAGAGATGGAATAGATTTGACGAACTCCTTCAGGATTGACTGTTTATTGTATTTATTCAGTAAACAGTGGGGCCGTATGCGTGACATCTGCTAATTGTGCTTGAAGCTTATTTTACCCACGTATTGTTATTCAATCTGATTGATTTATATATATAATATGGTGAGGATTTCCGGTTGAAAGTAAAGTGAAAGGAGACGACATTAAAAAGAAAGATGAATGAAAAACCAAATTATCTTTTTTCCCGCTTATTGATGTGACAAAGATATATTGATATTTGTAATTATAAATAAATATTTGTTAATTAGTGGTGTGGTTATGATTGGATATGGCGATAATGTTATGAATTCTAAGTACTAAAAATTTGATTTTGTTGATGGCATAGTATTTGTTCACTATGAGAGTTATGGCACATTTCTGCACTGACTTGATCGGAAGTTATGTGTTTGCATTTTATTTACTTATAAGTTGGCAGTGATTAAAGTGAAATTGAAAGTATGAAATATATAGTTAAGATATTCATGTAACTTTGTTTGCTGTGCGTTTTAAAGTCCAAAATTTTAAATTATGTGGAAATATATTTTAAGGATCTGAGCAAGGTTCAAGTGAAGGGAGTGAGCGAAGTCATCAGGAAGAAGCAGAAAAGAAAGATAATGATGAAAATGAATCAGATGATGAAGCAATAGAAGGTCTTATTTTTTTCAGCTCACTTGTCCCTAGGCTGATTTAAAAAGGTAATGGGGTGATTTTGACAGATGCATCATTGATTTCTTTCATGAGACAGCCGTTGACACAGCTGTCCGGCATTAACTGTTATTATCTGTGGAAGCGTGTACATTGAAATGAATAATTCTGGTGATTCGCAATTTTTCATAAATTATGATGAATTTTCAGGTTTAAAAGTTAATAATGCAAGTAGCGGTGAAGAGGAAAACGGAGATTTAGCATCAGAGGATATGAAGAGTATTAATAACAATAATAATGATGATGATGGCGGCGACGATGTGCATGATAGCAATATGCTTGGAAGTGATGATAACGATAACAATGAACATGACGAGGCTTCGGAGAAAAGTGATTCTAGTTGTGGAGATGGCGATGAGGAGGATAATGATGGTGATGACGATGATGATAATTAGGCTTATTGTTAGCCCGGGGCTTCTGTTTAGCGCTGTATTGATTTCCATCTTTTGTTAAATTTATTTGAGTGTTTGAAGATTGGTAGATGAAGTGAGTAGTTGGGGATTGTACTTCTTTTCTCCCTTTTGAAGTCATTTTGTTTGAGTGCTGCAGTTTTTTGTTCGAATTGAGACAGTTCGGATAAGTTTTTAATTACTTATTGCAAAATATTCGATGTTTGGATTTCAGCATGAGTGTTGCTCATTCTAAAATCCAAACATCCAATACTTTGTGGTAACTAATTAGAAGTTCATTTTTCTTAGTTTTTTCTTATAAGAGATATTTTTTTTAAATATTCCATTTTTAATCGTAAAAGTAGTACGTGGCTAAAATTTATCTGATTGAAATCTCAGGGGTTATCAGAATAATCTTATAAAATTCTTAAATGATTATGGTAAATTCTCAATCTAAATCATTTAAAAGCTTTGCATCATTTTAAAGTCAGTTTAGATTTGTGGAAATTTCGAAATTCCAGTTTTTGATTCGTTGATCTTTGTCAATAAAGATTTGAAAATTTGAATTCCTGATGTTTAGTACCGACAGATCTTAAGTAAATAATCTCTAGTCACAAAACTTTATGATTCATTGGTTCAAGCGGTTCTGCACCACATATCAACTTATGAAATGCCAAGAATTCCGAACTAATAACTACGTTGGTAGGATCTTTCATTACTTAAAAATTTTATTGAAATTTTTAAACCGTTTTAATTGCACCATATTGCATCCAATGGCTAAATGGATTTTGTACTAACCAATGTGAGCTAGTGTTATAAATAGGACCATAATCTAAAATTTTATAAGTATTGCTAATGATCAATAGTTATTAATTTTACAGTTCTATTTACGCATCAAATTGATCCAGAAAACAAACTTCCCATTATTCAATCTTTCCCGTTTTTATTAAAAAGATAAATTCTCCTTTTACCTTAGTAAGTACAATATAACTTGTCAAACATTAGTTATCATCAACTAGTGTAACGAATTTCGTTATATAAAATTAATGTAATTAATACAATGCCATTTGTTTCTAATTCTGTTTCTGATAATTCTGTTTCTGATAATTCTGTTTCTGATAATCATTTTTTGTTAATTTAAATAACTTGGAAGAAATGATTACTTTTTTGCAAACCACTAATTGTGAATAAATTAGGACCTATATCTGTAGTTAATATTCTTGCCTCTATTCAAACCAAAATAATTAATTACCTGAATTAATAGCGTTTGATTATTACCCTTATTTTTTAAATATCCTTACAGTTAATTACATATTTTTGTCATGACGATAGTTCTTATAAAGTAAAATCAAATTTGAGCAGCATTACTTAGTAATTAACGCATATAAAAGAATTTTGTTAGCTCATTTATAAATAGTATGAAACGATTATTTTCATAACCAACAAAAGTAACAATTGATTTCTAAAAAAATTTAATTATTAATACAACTACAATAGAAATGATATGCAAATAATAGTAGATGTCGATGAAGTATATTTTTTTAGGACTTAAATATATATTATTTATTATACAACAGATTTTGTTATTGTAAACAAATTTAAATCATATAAATTTGGGTCCTAATAATTTAAATATTACGGGAAAATAATTTAGAAATATTTTCTCATTCTACTTTCCTTTATCGGTACATTTACTTTTTTATTTCTCTCTTATATCTTAAACTATTATTATGAGAAGAGCATGTTTGGGAACTATTAATTTTCTAATTATTTCGAAATATCTGACAATTATTTAATTTTATTTCTGTTAACAATAGTTGTATCAATGATTTGTGACAATAAATGTGTGGATGAAATGGGATATTTCTGACCAAATGATGCATACATAACGTCTCAATTGTAATAACAACAACAATAATGTAATTATTTCCTACTCATAACTTTATGTCTGTCCCTGTCTGTTCCTGTCTGTGTCTGTGTCTGTGCGCATATGTTCATTTGTCAGCCTATCAGTTTGTCTGCTTGTTTTGTCCATTTTTATATTCTAAACCCATAAAATGAGATTATTGACCAAATAACTGTCATAATCATTTGCACTTATTTTAAATGTTTTTTCTTTTTACATCACATGATATGATAAAAAACAAATGAAGAATAGAAAGTATGTTTAATAAAAATCAATGATTTCTTTTCCTTTTTCTTTCTAGCTCTTCGGCACTTTTCCCCGGATACTGCGCACAAAAGGCAAAGAGTTGATTTTAACTTATGCTATATTGGTCATTTCTGGAAACATTTTCTTTCATTTTTTGTATAAAATTTATCAATTGCGACTGAATTGAATAGCAAAAATAGATAATTTTGCTCTTTATTTGTAATAAATTTGAGTTTTGTGACTTGAAATGTTGTAGATCCAAAAATTGGACCGAATTTTTCATTTATTGGTTGTTTTAATCGCATCCAGATTGTAATTTAATTAATTTATAAACATAAGCAGTTAAATATTCTGCAAGTATCGGAAGACTAATTAAGTGCTGTAGTTAAATGTAGTATGTGTTAGAGCTGTAAATATTATCGTGTAATAATATGCTCGTTTAAATTCTAATATACTATATGATCCTATAATATTTATTTGATCTTTGTTCTTAACTACTGAGTTTTATTATTAAAGATTTTCTAAAAAGAATTTATACTAAAATTTTTGTTCAATAATTTTTTTTCGTTAAATCCTTCCATTTTTACTGCAATAATTTTTATTAAATCTGAAAAAGAAATTTATGACGATAATGACAACTGAAAAGATATCATAAAACCAATTCGGTAAGTTAAATCGGATGAATCAGTTTTAACTTGTTAAGTTGCTAATGCAACTTTTGTGGTGTAAAAAAATAAAAAAGTTGAGATTAATGAAAATTGTTAGGGTATGCTAAGTTGTCCAACAAATCGAATGGTTCATTGGTTGTCATGGCATTTCGATTCTGATGCAGGAACGATGCATTTACATATATATTAGCTTCATCATCTATAGATACATATTTGATTTCCATATATGTTTGTTTTAGTTTTTCAAAATTTATCAAAATTTCATTTCATATTTTGAAAACTCAATTATATATCTTCGTCTTCGATTACTTACATTCTTCTTTATTAAACAAAAAGTAAATTTACGCCTTTAACAGAACGCAAAAAAAAGTTTCTTTTCTCTAACATCAATGACGACAAAATGATGTGAAGAAAAAAAAAATTATTGCATATATAAAGTTTGACATTGCTATAATAACAGTTTAGTTTCAATGTTAACAATTAAAGTTTCTTTAGTAACAAGTTTTAATAAAAAATGCTTTTCTTTTTTGATCATTTAGAGAAAGCATGCATTTCCAATTTCTTGAGTTGCTAATTACCAGTTTTTTTTTTAAATTTAACCTTCAATTGTAATTTAGAACTAATTTATTATCTTTTACATGATTCATTCCACATATTATTGCTTGATAACAGTGAACATTTGATAATCCTTACTATACATCTAAAATGAAGAAATTAAGATTAAATTCACCAATACATGCCAGTATATATAGCGTAGGATGATTAAGAGATCTTTAAATGCATTCGATAAACAAATCAAATATTAAATGAATAAGTAAACTTAGTAAAACTACCAATCCATCTATCTGTACATAATTATTAATTTGGGGAAGAAGGAAGAAATAAGAAAAATGAGCAGAGTTAGTGACTTCGTGATTCGAGATGGGTGAGTGCTGTCCGCTATTATCTATCGGGTTTCACTAACATTCAATCGATCCTCCGTGAAGTAAAGAATAAATTTATCATTTTGTTTTTAGAAGTTGAGAATATGGCGGGAAGTATTACAAAGTTTACGAGAGAGAATAAAAGGGTGAGATTTTCAAATTTAACCACTGATGTCCTCCGTACCGACGAGAACTGTCGGCTCTGTTGCTGAAGGTACCAGCTGAGCAGCGCCACTACATCGCGTCATTCCCTTCTGTGTTTCCATTTCATCAACCATCCCTATTTTTTCATTATTTCCCATTCATACTGTACCCATTACCCACTCTATAATGATATCGTTATGTGACACAGTTCATCATGATCCGGAACAGTAAATAAATTTTCGGCCTATGTGAATTGAAAATTATTAATAACATATAATTTTATTATTGCAATCATATCTATACAATCGTACTTAAATATTTCAATTAAACTATAAATAATTTTTGGCAACTTTTCATTTTTTTTGACAAATATAAATGCAATGTCTACTTGATTAAAACCAAAACTAAACACTATTACTCAATTTACGCTTTAATTAAATACCATTATTTAATTAAAGCCAAAATTAAATTGCACTAAATAATATTTCGAAATTGAAATTTGATTTTATGATTTCATTTATCTTATATGTTTATGAATGGATTTTTACACTGTTAATACTGCACAAAACTTGTTTGTAATATGTGGAAAATAGTAACTTACTTACCCATTCCTCTTCCTGTCGGAAATGTTGCTGTGTTGATTAACTTCAAAGGAATAAAACCCGCTGGTTCTTAAAAAATAAAACACGAATAAAAAACCAAATAATAATAATTTCATGCTTAGGATTGTAAATAGTTTATAAATTTAAAATATTTGATAAACTTGTAATTTAATAAATTTCAATACTATGCAAAAAAATATTTGGTCATAAAAACACAACAAATTTTAATCCATTTATGAAATCTTTTAATAT